GTTTTGGAAAGTGCCATCCACACAGTAACTTCTAATTCTTGTCTTTGCAGTGCTTCTGTTGTACTTCTACTGTTTAGAAAGGTCTCAGCATCCAATTTTGCTGGCAAGATCCTTTTTGTGATTGTCACTGTTTCTGTAGCCATGTTTGGAACATATTTTTAGAATCTCCTCTTTAATTGTGATCCTTTCCAGAGCATCTAACTCAAGTGATACTTGTTATATAGCTGAACAATGTCTAGGAGAATATAGAAAACTAGAAAGAATGGTAAATCAGAAAAATATGATGCACAGAAACCCCTTATTAACAGATGCTGAAAATAAGAATGTAGCCTTTGGTGTGGTGTATTTTGAATTGGAATGAGTGCACTTGTCATCTGCAGCAAAATATTCACAACTGGTATCAGAATAACTGGCACTCACAGGCACTTAAATATCAGTAAATATTTCCTATCTGTGTTTGCAGCAAATGGGCAGATCCTCCTGAGGTTAGCTTTGGTGAGCCAGTTCTGGGGCAAGTGTTACAGAGGGGGAAATGCAGAAATACAAGTGGTTTCAGCAATGGGAGAAGGCAAGGGAATATCAGCCCAAATGACAAGCTGAGGCTCACATTCTGTGTGTGTGCTGACAGGAGCTTTGGTCTAGGAGTAAAAAAAGAGTCAGTATTAGGAAATTTTTGCCTGCTACTGTTTTTTAAAAAAAAATTCCAAAGACAACCTACCACCCCTGCAGACTTCTGATCAAGAATGTCAGCAGTCTTTAGAGGCTGAACTTAACTCTTAATACTTTCTGAGTAGTCACCACCTTCTAAAATGTGGTCCAGTTTACTTAGAATACTCAGTTTCCTTCCTTTTAAAAGCTGAATGAAAATTTCATGCCCCTTTGGCCTTTTTCAACTAACACATATTTGTTTTCTTATCATGATATTCTTGTAATTGAAAAATGCTCTCTTATCAAACATGCACCTCAAATGAGACTACTTCACTGGAAATAACATAATGTATTATCATGAAAAGTATGTTTGTGTAGTGTAGAAAAAGTTTTCAGATGGTTTATCACAAAAATCCTCTCAGACTATCTAATTGCCTCCTGAGCTTCTGTGTTAGCACAGCTATTTTGTGCTCTGGATGGAGAAGTTATTGTGGAAAACTTTTAACGTTCACTTGAACAAATATTAAATGGGATGGTGTGTTTTGCTCTTTTGTCAGTGTTAAAATCAGATGTGATGAAGGTGTTCTGTGCAGCAGTGATGTAATTGTGACCCAAACCTGGCATTTTGGAGTCTTACCTGCATGTCCTTAGGGCTGTAGCTGCATAAAGTGCACTTGAATGTGATTTTGCTTCCACTGTGGCTTGCCAGTAAATGTCTGTGTGCAGGCATGCTGGAGTTCTGTATGCAAATTTATACTTATTTGATGATGTAAAGATATATATATACTCACAAGTACACATAATTTAGGTCTGTAAGCAAAACTGTGGTTCAATCTATTTAAGTATGACCTTATAAAATCTGTTTCTCTTTATATCTCCAGATAAGTATTCACTGCTACCCAGTATAAAGTGACATATGACAGATACTTGCTTAATTACCATTTCTGCAACTGCTTCTTGATTAGCATACATAAAAAGGCTCAGTGATTAGTTTTGACTGATTAACTTCTGTTTACAAAAGACACAGGAGGTATGATATTGGAGGATGACATTTTGGTCTTTCAGAAAGATGAAACCAAAAAATCATTGCCTCTTCCTCAGCAAAGGAAGATGATCCTAAACCCCAGTCTGCAGCCACTCCCAGCAGATGCTGCAAGCCTGGAAAGAACAGGCAGGCAAGGATAACCTCGAATTCTCCTGTCAGAGTTCCAGTTGGGAATGAACAGGGATGGTGTTGGTAATCCATGCCCCTGAACACCTGTAGCTTTGTAAAAATAAATATATATACACATAAATGAATAAATTCCTAGAACCTGGATCTCTTCTGAAGGCTGTCCAGGACCTCTGACACAAGGCAAAGCCTAACCCCTTGTCCCAAAGGATGTGGAATTGCTCTTTTCTGCACGTTGTCCCCAGGTCTTTCCTCCTTGGTGCTGATGTGGAGAGAACACACACGGGGAACCTCGGGAAACCGCTGCAGGCGATGTCCTGGTACGAGAGAAGGATGCCTGGGAAGACATTTACTGTCCATAAATATTGGAAGCAAGCACTGTAGGAAGAAGGCTTAGGGTTTATTGAAATGTTAGGTTTCATTTAATTGTCATAAGTGAACACATGATATGTGATAAGGATACACCAGTATATAGATGTACTGTTGTTATTTGTCAAGGAAAACTGATCAAAATACGTGGGAATAGCTGTCAGGCAGTAGGAGGAAGAGTGACTGGATCTTTCTGGCCATCTTCATCTCTGACCAGACTCACATGAGGAGTTATTTGACTTCTGGAATGGTATTCTTTGCTAGCTTTTCCTCTTTAAATCAATCAAAACCCCCCACAAATACAAAAAAAACTATGGTTAGGGAATATTTTTTACCTTTTGAGGCAGCTGATGGTTGAATAAGGTTCTGTAGTTTTCCAGAAACTGAAGATGAGTTTTATTTTCCACCTGGTACTTTTATTATTTGTCTTTTATGAGTGAGGCAGTGCTCCTACACCTGTGTAATTTTTGTGCAGCTGAAACAGAAAGTGGTGATGAGGCAATTCATGACTGAGAGTGGCCAGTGGAATGTGGCCACATCCTTCAGTTCTGCTTGTGTTGTTGTGTTTTTCTGAAAGGTTTGTCAAAGAAAGTCTATTCAGAGACCTGAGGTCTCAGAGCACAATAATGTAATTCTTATGTACACTCATAAATTTTACTGTAGGCTTTTTTTTGGCTCACCCACAGATTTAAACCCCTTTCCCTTTTATTATGTTATAGCATAAAAAACAAAGAGAAAAGTATATTCTGAAACAAGCATTTTTACCTATAGTCAAATTGCTGCAGTATAAAATAATGTTTCAAGTGCAGATTTCTGGGGTTTCCCACCACAAATTTTTATTCTGGTAATTCTGCTGCAGTTACTAGAATTGCAGTGTGTTCAAACTGAAACACAGTCACCAGTGAGGGATTGATTCCCTGTGAGGCTGTGGGAAAAAAGCTTTCCATGGGAATGAGGGAACTGCAGCCCTGGAGCTGGGCTGGAGCTGGGAGCTCAGCTGGGCAGCACAGAACACGGCTGCTGGGTTTGGGTTGGAAGAGGGGATGTTTAGGTTGGGCAGATGCAGGAATTTTCTCACTGTGAAGGTGCTGAGGCACAGGCTGACCAGAGATGTGGATGCCTCATCCCTGGGAGAGTTCAAGGAATGGGGATTGAGTGACCTGGCTGAGTGGAAGGTGTCCCTGATCATGGCAGGGGGTGGTTCTAGAGCTCTTTAAGGTCTCTTCCAACCCAAACCCTCCTGAGATTCTGTGGTTTGGCACTGCAGGGAGTTCATTTCAGTGGGGTGTGGTTTATTGCTGCTTTTTTTTCCCACTTGGCAGTGGGCAGCAGCAGGAGTAACTCCTGTCTTCTCTGGGCACATTCTAGACACAGGATGCTCATTTTGGTATCAAACACCAGTTCTGAGCAGTTCTGAGCTCAGCACCTTTCTTTCAAGTCTTTGCCAGGTATCTCCCCTCTAGTGCTCATAAATAAAAACATCCCCAGACCAGAAAGTGAGGGCCCTCAGCAGCAAGGCTGGAGAAATCAAGAGGAGACTGATTTGATCCACAGCATTTGTTTTTTCCTTCTGGCTGCATCTCCATGCTCCAAAGCCTCAGTATCTTTGCTGGCAGCAAGCTCAGTTTGTCTCCTGCTTCTCCCCATGTGTTCTGTGCTTTTTCTGTCTGAACATTCATCTGGAAGGGCTGGATTAAGGACTGTTCAAAATGACTCTGCATTCTAATTCTAATTTTAATGTGATTTTTTTTCTCAAAAAGGGCTGAGGGGCCTCCAAAGGCTGTCAAAGGCCAGGTGTTCAGCCCACCTTCCTCTCACATCACTTTTCTCCTGTTGCTGGCTCAGGGTTTTCCTCTTTGAGAAGCAGATGTATGTATACAGCAGAAATTAGAATACCTAAATGAATTAAATGTGCCCCAAGGCTTATTGAACAGCCCAGGAAGCAATGCTGGGAGCTGATCCTGCACGTGAAGGCAGTCTGTAGAACACAGTCTGGCACATAACCAGCTCCAAACCAGCTTAGGACTCTTGCTTAAGGTAGCAAACAGAATAAAAAGAACAAACAGAGTAATAAAAGAGAAGGAATTTACATACAAATAAAAGCAGCTGGAAATAGATTCTAGTAATCCCAGTGTTCTGGTTTACCTCATCACATTTTCTCTCCTCACCAGTCCTAGCAGAGATGAAATGATATGGAATTGCATTCACACCTCCTTCAAGGCAGGGAGAAAGGCAGAGTGAGTTCATACCTTTATACCTTCTTCTCTTGGCTGGAGCTGTTCTTACCCAAGCCTGTGGTACCCAGGGAACAAGTGCATTTAAAAAACAGAGCTGTAACAACAATGAAGAATTGGGAGGAAAGTTCAGTCACTGAAATGGAGGCCAACCCACTGCAAAATGTCAGGGTTTATATTTAAGTTTTCTTCCAGCAGCTGTTCCTTTTCTTGTTGCATTTCCCCCTTCTTTTTAACAAATTCTCTTCCCTGCCTCCCGTGAGGTTCTCTCTGGGGTTTTATTAAGTGGTACTGGAGAGGAAAAATACCTGGGGGCTTATTGTACAGCTCCACACACCACACTTCCCCTGTATCTGCACACCGGTAGCTGCAGTGGCCTGGACACATCTCTGGAGAGGGAGGATGGAGAAAATCCTCCCTTTCTGCAGCTCCTGGTGTGCAGGTGCAACTTTTTATCCCAAGTCTGGAGAATTCTGATGCTCTGCAGCAACAGGCTGAGATCAGGCCTGGGTTAATGAAAGCAGTAAAACCAGCACTTAAATTCCAAATGGATTTCCACAGAGACAGAGAGACCGTGATGGTGTTTGGACTTTTTTATTCAATAAAAGTTTGAGTTATAAATATTCTCCATTTGCTTCCTATTTACAGTTGTAAAATATTTCAGGATAGCCTACCCGTCACCTGTCATTCAGCATCTCTATAAATGTCATGAAAACATCATTGTGAAATAAAAACGTCTCATTTCCAGCCCACAAACCCTGTTTCCACACACTCACAAAATCAAATCCGAGACAAAAAAGGGGAGAGAAGGAGCTGGGGGCTGGGGAGCGGGAGGAATACAGTACAGCAGGCACAACCAGAACTTGCTACACAGTAGCAAAAGGAACAGGTACAAAATTTAGTCTGCTATGATGCTAAGCTTCTCAGGACATTTGTTATGGACCAGCGCTGCCCAGTGCACTTCTGAAGGACCAGCTGAAACCCAAACTCGTTTTCATTGTTTTCCTGCAGTTCCAGGCAGCGCTTGGATTTTCGGTTCTGGATAGGGCCTCCCTGTGAGGATTGGGGGAAAACAAAGGAAAAGAAGTGTTTGTGTTAACCACTGATCTTGTTGCTTTGCTGCCCTGGGGTAATGGAAGCTACAGAACATTCCAGTCCATCTACTGTGAAAGACTTTCCAGTTAGGGACAAGGCAAGTGCTGGATTTGGGATGAAGGTTCCTTTGTCACAGGCTGGTTTCATCTCTGATGCAGTTTGCAATAGTCTCAATTGCCTGGTGTCAGTAAATGGGATTTCTGCAGCTGAGCTGTGTTTCTAGCCATGCATTTTAATCATGAGGAGCCAAAGCCTTCCTGTTTGCTTCAGTTCCCTGATTCACCACCTCTGAACACCAAATTAAAGCAAAAGACAGCCAGGGTATGCCGTATAAATGATAAAACACAAAAAATGTTTATTCCTTGAATACTGAAATGTCTTTTATGATCTTTTGTTGCTAATCTTCAGAACTGACTCTCTTCAATTCCCAACTTAATGGTGCCTTATTAAAGCCCTGATTTCACTTTTGAATTGCAGCAAGCTTTAAATCACTGCTATCACACAGATAACTACAGACCTCAATTACGATCAAATTCTCATACAGGTGACATAAATTCCCTAAAGTATCTTGGACTTGTGTGGAGAATTACTGGCTTAATCTGCAAGCTGAAGAATGGAGCTGGTGCAGATTAGTACACCTGAAGTATGGAAAGAGCAGAAGCATATAAATTGCTTAAATGTACCATGGGAAAAAACATTTGCTATAAAAAACCCAAACCAACCACCCAGTTCCACCCAGAACACCCACCACCCCCTAGCTCTGCTGGAGTCTGTGTCATGCCCTGCAGGATAAAGTCCCACCTGGGAGGGGTTTCTGCTCTGAGCACAGGGATTTTGGCATAAAGCCCCAGAGAAAGGCTGTGTTTCAGAGCAGGCTCTTCCCTGACCCGGGCAGCAAACTCAGCACAGGAGTCTGAGGCTCTCCTCTCCCTCCAGCAATGCTTATTAGCAAGAACCTTCTTGAAGATGTGACTTCTGAAATGGTATTTTGGGGCTGGCTAATGAAGTACAGAACTAGGTTTGAAAGCTCCACATGTAAAATACAGCTTTGGGTAAGAGGGAGCATTTCTAGAATAATCCACAACAATTCCAAACGTGTGGCTCCCATCAATGCTCCTGGTAGTTCTGTGTGCAGCCTCCATACAATTTCCACTGGTTGCTTTAGCAGACAGACATTTACAAGCATTTTAATACACCTCCATAATGAAATGCTGAGTGAACTGTATTTTCCCTCTGCTGTATAACTGTTATTGACATTTGTATTAATAACAGGAGTGAAATTTGACTGTCTGGTGGGAGCACAAACACCAGATTATCCAGAGGCAATAACACTGCATGGCATACAAGAAACTTGAAGAAGCTAGGATGAAAATTTTGTCACAGCTTTATTATATGCCACTTTTTCTCTTATCCTGGACACTCACCCTACATCCACCCCCCACTACTCTCATTCCCCCACTCCCTCAGTTACTTTGGCCTTCTAGAGATCATCGTAGTGAGGCTGATTCTTTTTTCCTCTCCAAGTTAATTTAATGAGCTCTGAACTAGGTTATGTTAAAACTCTGAGGCAATGGATATTTTCTCATTGTGGAGGAACAGTTATCTTGTTTTCTTCTAGAACAACATGATCTTTCTATTCCTGATGAAAGCTGTGGAGTGTGGTTTTCACTGCAGGGACTCGGTGTTGCACAGCACCCAGGGTCAGCTCTTTTGGCTTGAACTGGGAAATGGGAATTACACCTTACAAGTGTTTCTGCCTAAATCCAAAATCAAGATTAACTGCCTTGTGTTTTCTGTGTGGGAATTCCAAGCACAAACAGTGCTGGAGGTGCTTGTGTTGCTGTTAGTTATGTAAATTAGTTTTGTGTCTTTCCTTCATTGGCTCTCATCCTACTTTTGGTGCTTGAGGCACTCTCAGCTCAGATCAGGATCTGAAAGCTGATACTGGAAGCTGGGGAAAGCTGTCCCACGTTGTCTTGTTGGAAAACTAGCTTGACTGGTCCATTACTTGCCTGATTTCTGGACTTGGGATATGACTCTGCATGGTACTCTTAGGCTTCTCCTGTCCCTTCTAACTGGCATCAGGAGATGGACAGAATTCCCTCTCCATTTTTTTGTGAAGCATGGCACTTGGAACTCTGTCAGGCACAGCATCAAGACTGAAAGACTGCCATGAGGAGCTGGAATTTTTCTGCTTAATTCCCATTTGTTTCAATGGTCAAGGGTTTCTTTCACTTGAATGGGCCCAAAAGCCTTGTGGATTTGGGGGTAAAGGAAGGAGGATGCTCACAGTGGAGACAGCATTTTTCCTTTTTTCTAAATGTTGTAGAGCAGACCTGGTAAATGTATTCATGAGAAGCACTTTAATAGGCAGCTACACAAACAAAGTGTAAACCACTCCTAAGGAAAAACAAAACAAGCAACCAGAAAGAGCTCCTTCACACTCCTTCCCTCTTTTTGATGTGCCCTCATGCCAAATCTGGCTTCTATTTAACAGAAACAAGTGCAATGGGAGATAAAAAGCCAAGGGAGCTGATTTTGATGTGTGGGAAATGCTCTGCATTGGCTCCTGAAAGCCTGCAGAGAGCATTGGAGCTGCTGTGTGGAATATAAAAGACACCAAAGTTAAGCAGTGGCTAATATGTGTGAATTGAGTGTGTGGAGAGCAGATCTTCTAGCGAGATGTGCTTTTATTAACCACAGAAGGGAATGGTGGAGGCTCCAGCCCTGCTGGGAGCTGAGCTGTTGCAGGAGATGTGAGGCTTGTGCAGGCTCAGAGAAGATGCAGCAGACACGGCTTCAGATGCTTCCAGCAGGCACAGAAATGAAAGAACTGCTCTGAAGTACAGGGAGGAAGGTTTGTGTGCTATTTACTCAACATTTCCTGTTATTTCTCTACTTCACTGTGTTTGTTTCCAGCCCTCCCTACGCCCAGTCCAAGCCTGGGGCAGTGGTGCTGTCCTGCCAGCTCTGGGCTAACACAGCCTGCAGGGCTGAGCTGTGGAGGAGTAAACTGACACATAAATACACACTGAGTAACTGCAGAGAAAGGACTGAGCAGGCAGGACTGAGGCATCAAAAGCTAACACTGCATTTTGCTCCTCCAACTGGCCTGGCCTCCAAATGACAGCATTCCTGAATGGTTTCTGCAGTCTGTCATCATCATTAGCACTGGAACCCTAAAGCCAACTGCAGGCAAAGGTGTCCTTTAAGTTAATTATGTTTTGCCTTTTTTTTTTTTTTTTAGTAGGCAGTTATCCAAACTTGTACAAAACTCTCATAATGGGGTTTACTGCATGCTTGGAAAAATGGTTTCTTGTGTTACTAGACTTCAGGCAAGTTGCCCATTCCTTTCCCCATTCTAGGCAGGATCTCTGCTTTCCAATTTAAAGGCAAAAATTGATAGCCTAGGGTAATGTCTTTAATCATGAGACATTAAACATAATTCTGTAGGCTGAAAGAAGTTTCAAGAGGAATTCTGTGCAACTGAACAGAATTAGGATTAAGATCACTGATGATGAGAGGCAGCTCAATGGCAGCAGAAGTCTCAAGAGGATAAATAAGCATCCAGGTCAATTGGTCTATAAAAGTTAGACTGAACGTGTCAGCACTAAGAGGTGTGAGTGAAAACCACATGGTTTTTGCAAAGCAAATTGAAGCCTGCATTTCTGCTGGCTGTGAGAGGTTTCCTTCCCAGCCTTTCACCAAAGCAGAATTGATAGGTAACATGGCACTCAAGAACACAGACGTGCCTGCAAAGCCTTGCACTCCAAGCTGTGCCAAGCAGCTTCTGCTGAGCTGTTCCATGGGATTTGTTTTGGTTTTTCTGGGAGTGGTGGGTGCCCAATTACCAAACCTGGTCACTTGAAAAGACCTGATCTGGTGCAGAGACAAGGGGTGTTAAAGGAGCGCTGGAGACTGCCAGCATTACTGCAAATCAGACTGATGGCTGTTGCTAAGGAGGAACAGCTCCTAAGGAGTTACTCCAAAGTGAACACTTTTCCTCTCACAGTTTAAACCTGCTGTTCACTCATCACATCACAGCTCATGTCAGAGAAAAAACACACTCGCTCTTGCTTGCCTAAACATGGCTATTGCAGCAAAAGGTCTCAAAAGGTTAATAAGTATATCCAGTCTCCTATCACATCCTCTGTATAGATTGCTGCATTCTCTAGTCTATTAATTTTCTATTTGGACCTCAATCAGTGACCTCAAATATTTACATGTTCTCTCTGCCTTTGAGGCAGAAACTCCAATCTTTGCTGTTGCTTCGGTGCATTTGAATAAAAGAATTCTGGTGAGGTGTATGAGACAGAGATAATCTCCAAACACAACACCTGATCTCCTCGTGCATTTCCCCAGGGTAAATTTTCAGTGACTGCCAAATTTAATCCTAAAAAAATTTACACAAATTATACAAGGCATTTTTTTCCTCTGTGTGATTCTCTTCTGTATGGATGTTGAAGCAATAAGAAAAAGTTCACAGGAAGAAGGGAATCATTCATCCCATTCAGAAATTAATGCATTTTCAGTATTGCTCACTTAGAAATATTGGGTAATATTATTTAGTTTAAATTTTCTGTTTTTAGCTGTATAAAGGATATAGATATCTGTAATATAAAGGTAAGTGATTAACTCCCTCTTGAATCCAAAGGAGTATGACAGATTTTCCAGCTTTGTCTAACAGGTGTGCTGTAAGTAGAGCAGGCTCTATAACATAACTTTTGCTGTTCAAATCTTTCATCAATTAATTTGAACTATTTTAGTTGAAGTATTTCTCACTGCAGTTTATTCTTAGCTGCTCTTGGACATGCTTCCTAACATATCTGAGTACTGTGAAAATACGGTGCATTTAACTGCTGTAATGTATATGAAGTATCACATACAGCAGGTTTGTATATTTAAAATATACTGTTACCTGTTTAGCTATTTAGATCTTTCTTTACAGGGTAGAAAAA